CGCGCGGGCGGGACGTGCGCGCCGCGCAGCGCCCCATGGCGGCGGCCGCGGGACCCCCGGCGAGGCGGGCGCTCCCCGCCGCCCGTGGGGGGCGAAGCAGCGTCTGTGTGCGCGGCCTTGCGGCCGCCCGGCCCCGTGTGCCCTCCCCCGGGCCGTCCCGTGCCCCAGGCTCCGCCCGGGCAGAGGGGTCGCGCCTTGACGTGAGCTCTTTGTCTGCGCAGTTCCTAAAGAGTAAGATGGGGAAGGGCGAGAAGGCGGCCGCCCCGCACAGCCAGCCCGGTCACAGCATACATCTRTGTGAGCAGCCAAAGATCAACAGGCAGAAGAGCAAGTGCAGCGCGCCCCTGGCAAAGATCACTTCTGCGAAAAAGATCGAGAACTTTTGGCAAGAGCCCGTGTCCCCCGAGATAATTCAGAAGCAGGAGAAAAAGCCACTTAAAAACACAGAGAACTTCCGAAATGCAAAGTCCAAGAAACCCGTCACCCTAATGGAAGCGAGCCAAAAAGAAAATTACGCTGGGGCAAAATTCAGTGACCCACCATCTCCTAGTGTCCTTCCAAAGCCTCCCAGCCACTGGGTGGGCGGCACTGCTGAACCTTCTGACCAAAACAGGGAGTTGATGGCTGTCCATTTAAAAACTCTCCTCAAAGTTCAAGCATAGTTTCCAAAATCTCTGGAAAGTAGCAAAAAAAAAAAAAAATCCATCCAGGAAACGTACCATGCCTTGTTGCAACGTGCATTGCAAAAGACTGTCAAGTCTTACAAAAACCCTTGTATTATATTTTTTATGGTTGTGTAAATAGTGTACATCATGTATTATGTGTATATTCTTGTTCATACTTCAAGAGGTACATTTTAGTTTTGTTATGAAAGGATGTATTTTGCACTGCCTGAATGGTAGCTGTCCTGTACATAAAACATGGACAATTTTAAGTGTGTGCTTGACACATGAAGACTTGACTTGATTTGCACAAGGTAATGAAAATTTCGAAAGGAGAGTACAGCTTTCTGATGTTGAGGTTCCAGATCAAATGTGAATGGTTTATTCGTGCACTACTGACAATACTTTTGCATTCTGTGGCCCAATCAAGTATAAACATGGAATTTCATGCAAATGGGAATTTTTGCTCTCTGCTCTGTAAACAGTGTCTGGAATTCCTGGTCATCTGTTTGCTGTGAAATTCACTGGAGTTTGTGTAAAATTCCAGCCCATCAATTTGAGCACTGCTGATTTCTTTAAAGGAAAAAAAGAAAAGAGCAGAGCTTTCTGCCAAAAAAAAAAAATATAATTGGTTACGAAAAAATTAAATAAAACAATTTGGTCTCCCCTTAAGCATGTCTGTATGTTTTCTTTTATTGTGCAGTATTAACTCAAATGTTTGAATCTAAATTATTTGATAGCCTTTGTAAGAGTGTAACCAAGATGACTAACGGTCTAGAGAAGGACGTAAAAACTTACCTGAAGAGTTAAGAGGTGGGAGAGCTCATTAATAACCCCRTAGAATTGTCCCAATATGTTTCATTTGAGACACATTTTTTGAAGAGCGTAACACTCCTGTTTCTTGAAAATGCAGATACCAAGAAAGCTGATAAATTCAAGCATTTAGATTTTTGTTACAGTGCTACTTAACTCGTTTAACATAAAGTCATCACTAAGCTAGCTGATACTCAAGCATAACCGTGAGAAAAGCAGGGGGAAAGCTCAAGTTTTTCAGCAAGCTCCCTTGGAAATTGCTTTCCTTTGGTCTAAAACTCTTAYAGAAGTGGACTGTAGATTAATTTGCTGGGGAAATGGTATGAATTTGGAATTGTTTTAATCTCTTACTTCAAAAAGGTGTACAAAGCAGAAAAGTTYTAAGGTTTTCAGATCCAAAGTGTGCTCTCTGGGCACTGGTGTATGAGGAAGGCTACTGAGGAAGAGAACTGCTGCTAGAGCCCTCGCAGAGCTGGTTTCCCARCATGAATGATGTTTTCAAAGAGTGCTCAATGGGGATTGAATGGGCACTTCTGTCTCCATTCATCATTGCTATTCTGGTATATACCCTTATTTGTTCCATTTCTGAGAACTGGTAGTTAAAATAGCCCTGAAGTGAGGTTGTTTTGAAACCTAATGGAGAGCAGGGAGCGTTTCTTTCTTTTGTTTGTTAAAATGAGCTCTGGAATGGCTTAAAATTTTCATTATAATTAGTTTGTTTATCTGTGTTCCAAAGTAAAAGCTTATACGGAACATTAAGTCCATCCCATAGACTTCCAGGTTTTCCTGCCTTGCACCTGTTTTTACTTCATTAGTAACCCTGCATGCTTGAAGGAAATGCCTGGCTTCAGTAGCCCAGTTTGCTGCCTAAACACTACCAGAGCACGTCCTGGCTTGGCTTTTGCGAGAGTCTTCTCACTTTTTTTCTTCCCTCATTAGTAATAGCGGGTGTGAGGGCAAAGAGCAAGGCCAACAGAACCTCGCTGGGAACGTCTCTCCCATCATAGGCCCCAGCTTYAGCACGTTTGGCATGAGCTGCACTGACCTATGGGGGGTTCTGTTTGGATTTGAGCTCTTGTCAAAATGACATCGAGCACAAAGGAAAACGCCTTCCAGAATTCTCCAGAGCTTTAGTCAGGGGTTGGTTTTGTGAGCTGAACTTGTGATCTTGTTGAATCTTGATAGCCAGCTTGACAGGGCCTATTTTCCATAGGCTCTGTTGCTTAGCACTAATTAAAAGACAGTCACATTTTTATTCCCGCTCATTACCTTTATTGCTATCAAGCTGCTTTTCCTGCCTTCCCCTTGGGACTGACATCACGTTACATAGTCTGAATGCTAACTCTGATCCACATAATGGATCTTCTGTTCCCACTCTGTTCTGGCACGTCCCAGGAGGTTACAAAATTTGTTCAGTCCGAGTATGGCTAGTTCTCAACTTCCCGGCCAAGTCTTGTAAGAGTCTTGGATGACAGTTCTGGACTCTGGAGAATGTCATCATTATTGGCACCGTGATGTGGGTCTGGCACAGTGCGCATGTTTAAATGTTGTCCGTAAGATCTTTGGGTTGAATCCCTTCCCGGGAAACGGGAAAGCGTAGCCTGCTTGCCTGGGTTACAAAAGAAGGCCTGCAGGCAATATACACTTTACAAGAAGAACGCCTAACAAACAGGCCGTGGTGGGTTCTTAAGACCACATTCTACCCTGAGTTTCTCATCTTCCCATTATCTTCTGTTTTTACATAATTGCTTTTTTACAGTGACTTTGTGTTTCAGGGATTCCTTGACTTCACCTTGACCTCCCTGACTGGGAGGAGATTTCTCCTCACAGTTCCTTGAAAGCTGAGCCAACGCTGTGTTACATAAAGATGCTATTAATGATTGTAGAGTCAGTATTTCTGAATGGAAACAATAGCTCCATGTTAGTAGCCTTTCTTTGCAATAATGCASTCAAATTTTTTTTGGATGTGAAAAGGCTTTGGGGAAGAATATGCAGAAGCTTAAGGGATGTCTTGAGCTGGACATGCATCAGCTATGCAGGTACTAACAAAATATTATTRTATCTTCTGAGTCCAGAGGAACAACACAAACACAGTGCATTTTGGTTTGGCCAGATCGATATTTTTGCTTCCATTCAACATGATTTCCTCCTCCGGTGCTGTGCTGTGCTGAGAGTCAGCGGGGGTCAGCTGCGCCGGCCAGCGCCCGGACAGCCGCGCGGTGACGGCTGCCCTGACGAGCGGCTCTCGTGGAAGGAAGGGCAGAGTTGCTCTGCTGTTAGGCTCGGCTTTTGTGGGCTTTTGTGCTGGGCTGGGCAGCAGACACGGCTTTGTTCATAGGTAATGGGTGACTTGATGTCCTGCTAAAGCTAAAGCACTTCTAATATAACGGGAGGAGGAAGGGCTGTAGCACTCTTGGAAATACCATGTGCACCTGAACTGTGTTGCACCACTATCTCTTGGGAGATGCTGCTAAATTCCTAAGTAGTACTTACAGTTTTGTAGTATTATCCGTAAATTGATTATTTMAACTGCTTAATACTTATATACTGTCATTTTAAGCAGTTGCTGTTGACATTTTTGAAGCTGTTGCATCATAAAGCGTTGAATACCTGCCCCACTTAKTTTTTTCTCCTTTACCGAGTTACAAAGCAACATAGTTTTGGTGGTAGTTTTGGAAATGGTGCTTGGCATTAATTTTGCATGTAAAATCTTCACACTTCTCTCTGTCGTGTAGCTGGACRACTCCTTTCCTCCCACAACCTGCAGTACTCTGAATTTTGATTTCAACTTYTAGTATATGCCTCACAAAACTACTTAAGGCAAATTATCTTCTATTGTAATGTCTAAAATCTTGTTAGGAATAGTCTGGTCCTTAAGAGGCTAGAGGTGGGCAAGTAAGAAAAGATAAAAGTTGTAAACTGTTAATATTCAGTGTGGAAAATTGATGCTATCTTGTTGAACAGGAATCAATATTTCCAGTACCAGGAAACATGTAGTTGCTTATTCCATAGAAGAGCTTCAGGGCACACTTGGAAGAGAAGGAGGAATGCAGTATCCCATGCAAGGACCTATGCTGGGATTCAGCAGCAGAACATTCTCAGCAGCAAAGGGGCTGCAAGCCGTCCCTTCTGCATTTAGGGTTCAGAAGAATGTTACCAGAGCTAGGACAGGAATGACTGAATGAAAACCTCAGGAATTAATACTCATGGTGAAAGGATCCTAGCAGAAGTGCGTTTTTCTGTGTACTGAAGTCCACATTCAGCTGCAACTTTTCTTCTCCRTGCAGGTGATAAAATGTCACTTACTCCGTAGCTTCTTCCAGAAAACAGTCCTTGAGCTGATACTAAGCCATGACTGTATGAGAAGAGCTGTATAGTCTTTTTGATTTGAATTGGGCAAGCAACATCACTGCAAGTTGTGCACCTTAGATTGTGTGCATTTATTTTGAGTTTATAAATGCATGTCTTCAATCAGTTTAACTGAGAATTACCCTTGTGGGTACTCGTGCTGTAGGTTGCCCCTGGGGAGTGAACTGGTGTGGCTTCTGTAGTTCATGAAAGAAGTGTCCTGAGAGCAAGGACACTTCTGAAAGCAGTTACATAGTTCAGTGCGCAGTTATATGTGTTTCAAGCAGTAATGTAATATCATCACCATTCTGCTGTTCTTCTTCTAAAGATCGTGAAGCATTCAGTTTTGAGAAGGTGCTTTTTTATCAGATGTCACTTGTTCCTTTAATGAAGGCATGTGCTTTCATCAGGTAGGTATATGAAGCCTAATTTACAAATGTTCTTATAGCGGGTGAGAGAAATGGCCACCAAAATATAATTTACTGATGTTTTTATGCCTTGATGAAACATCTAGAGCTGCATTCAATGAAGGCTCAAGTATAGGAAATAGTTAGCTGTTCTTTTTCCATTCTCTTAATGCTTGAATCTTGCATTCTTTACTGCCTAGTGACATAACTTTACTGGAAAGCATAGTTGTTCTACCTATAGTTTGATACATATATATGTGTGTGTATATATATAAAATGAAGCTTGTGCAAATTGCGTTTTTAGCATATCAGTTTATACAGAAATTAAGCATGTCATATTTGGAGTATGGGGTCAGTCCTTTTAGCAGTTTATTTAATGATAAATTGACAGGTCTTTTACAACACTAGGCATGCTGTGTATGTAAGCACCAAAGAAAGTGTTACAACTTCTTTGTATTTTCTACTAGATGTGATAAATAGGTACAAAACACTATGAAAACGAAGGTCAGCTAATCAGAGACAAGAAAGAAGCAACATAGATGTTCCCATGGAATTATGTGSGAAAGAAAGATCCTTTTGCCAAAATTGTTCTCAGAAGTGTGTGATATTAGTGCAGATTTGGGGTGTTTGAGTTAACAGATGAAATGCAGTTTCCCACCAGTTCTTGTCTGGGACCTCCTAGAGGACATGAGCTGAGAGGTTCTGCAGCTGATTTTTTCTCTCTCTGGTCAGTACAAACGATTCATGACCAGAAATTGCATCTTCTGACATGCTTCTTAATGGCTAGCCTGGCTTCAGAGACCGCAAAATGCTGCGTAAGTGCTCATTGCTCTYAGACTTTCTTGGGTTTGCAGATTAATTTCAGAGATAATCAGCTCAGCTGCTGACGTGAAGACRATGGATTGAGGGAGTGCTCTCATGCCCTGTCCTCTAAGGGGAGGGCAGGGCACTGCCTGGAAAAGCGGAGTGCGTTCCCGTTGCTGTGGCTAGTGAGCAGGGACCCAGCT